TACTCTAGTTCACAAACACATACAATACTTAATTAATACTTGAACGGCCCGTTCTCACTAGTTGTGCGGTCCCCAGCACAATCACCATTTCTCGGAGATTTGCTGGTTAAGCCATTGTGGTTCCCTGGAATCCCGAGGACAGCTTGGCCAAAATCTGCCCTAGGTCGTCACCACAACAGGCAGTCGCAGTCCCTGTGGATCAGAGAGAGATTTGCCACCACGCTACTTTGATACCAGGACGGTGGTGGATCCTGGTATTGGTTTACTCTTAGCTAGGTTTCCTGACGCCGGACTCCTCAGCTTGGGAGACACTGCCGGGGGACGAATCTCCCAGCTGTACATCGCAGTCCGACACACAAGAACACCTCACAGTCATTATGAGGCGGCAAACCGTTCGGAGGACACACAGAATAATGTATACATATATATATATATATATACATACATATCTATAAACATGTGTATAGGCACACACATATATGTGTATATACATGTAGAAACTACTCCCGTTAAAATTTAAGAAATTTGAAATGATACTTGAGGCCAAGTGGTTGCTAGCGTAAAATCGGCTATCTTATATTTTGTAATAATAAGACCTCAAGGTCAAGGCCGGAATAACATCCGCGAAGACTGGCGGCCCCATGAGAGTTTTCATCATCAGTTCACGATTCGTAAGGTAACTGGCCATTTTGGACGTCAAAGAATGAAGTACGAAACCATGACGGCAGTAAACGTCTTGAGATCTTGAAGTAGGTAGTACTGGATGTATAGGAATATAAAAACTAACAAAAATTGTTGGTTAAAATCTTGCTGGAGAAATGGAAAAGCTACACTCTCTGACAGTGTAACATACCAGCAATTTTCACGATAGCAATAGTCGATACTCAGAGTATATATTTACATGTTTATACGTATATGTATATGCATACGCAGATATATACATACATACATGCACATATTTATATATATGCATAGATGAGCATGCTAGTTCGGATATTTAATAGCTTTAGTAGAAGAAGAATATCTAAAGAAGAAACACCGATTGGGAGGTTTTCTGAGCGGACGACAAAACAAAACACTTTAGTCCCCACTGCAGCTATTATTGGTATGAAAGAGAATACTGAGTGTCATCCGATCCAAAGAATATCTTCGGATGCGGCTTCGCCAGCATTTCTTGTTTCTGCCTTAGGGAGGAATTCTCACCATCACATAAAACAACGAATGAATGGAAACGACTGCAGACAAACAGATAAACGTGAACCACTAACCATATCAGATTTCCGTTATCACAGGTTAGTGGAGGTGTTCTCGTGGACATCTAGAAAACAGCTGCAAGACTTCGTTCCTTGCGCGATTGTGTCTTCTGAAAAAAGAGTATCAGCTGCCACAGTGGGATTGGACATACAAAAAGGCTACTGGATTTGAGCAGAGGTGACGATTTACGGCAAATGTTCACCCAGAGTAAGTACCTGAAAAGTCGAACTTACCCACCAGAATATTCTTGACTTGCATTGATTTGTTAAAGAATCTTTTCGAGTACCTCCCCTGGGATAAAGATAAACTCCTTTAAGGAACACCGTATGCAAAGCAAAGAAAACGGTGTGACGACTGTGACTGGCCAAAAAAAGCAACAGGATGATATCAACTTTTGACAGAAGTCAAAGACAGAATGAGCCCGTTCCAGTGACCAGACGACGAGAACGAATGCATCAAACAGAAGGTCAAACAGGATGGCGATGTGTGGGAGCTGCTCAGATGCTAGGCGATGACCCAATGCTGACTCGGACCCAGTTACACTCGAGCACATTTTCTTCAAACGAGTTTTGTCAGCTTATGGCTATGTCTTCTGTAATGAGACACATTTGACATTCCATACAACCAGCGAAAAAGCGAAAGTGGAGGGTCGTCATTTGATTCACAGAATGTTGAGAAGCTGTTGGAATTGCGAACAGCGTTGAACCGGACAATTACTCAAAATCGGTCAAGAGTCAAGCGCCTGGCAGTTGGAATGTGAAAAAATTGATGAAAGCCTATGGTTCAAAACTTGACTGAGCGAAGGAATCGGATCTAACGCCTGCCAAATCAGGGCGGAGCGCTGACTTCGTTCGCAGGAGTTCCAGCTATGCTAATCCCTTCAGAAAACCCGAAATCAAAAAGGTCGGGATGGCTATGTCTTCCGATGCTGATTCAAAAGTGTTACTTGGTTCATCAGTAGTAGAGGACGATTGTGATACGAGTCCTTTGGTGATCCCAAGTGTGATCAAAGCATTTGGTTGCCGCCCTTCTGGCTTGCGGTGATCTCTCAAGTAGTGAAGATCTGCAGTTTTTATTCAGTTTATTTCGAGGCTTTTTTTATTTTCTATCTAACTAGCAGTAAAAGTGTCTGTACATTTGGGGGTAGTCGCAGCAGTTTGGAATAAAGTTGTCTTGCTTTTAACTTTTATGGTTTCTAACACGTAGAAATATCGCTTTAAAAGTAGGTTTTGACCTTGGTCGTTTCTGTTGAGTAATCTTTAGAGGTCTTTGTATTTCTCAGAAATGCAACTGGTTCTGGCCTGAAATTCTTTTGTACTTTTTTAATCTGATTTATTTCGTATTGTAGTATGGTGACTGAATGATCTGGGTTTCTGAGGAACACTTTACAGTCAATGTAGATCCATGCGCGTTGCCTTGCGCTGTCTTAGTATAATAATAAGTCAATACCAAGATCTACCACCGTCCTGGTATCAAAGTCGCATGGTGGCAAATTTCCCTCTGATCCACAATGGCTGCGACTGCCCGTGGTGGTGAAGACGTGGAGCAGACTTTGGCCAGGTTGACTTCGGGTTTCCAGAGAATCACAACGGCTTAATCAGCAAATCTCCGAAAAATGGAGATTATGCTGGGAACCGCGAAACCAGTGAAGACGGGCCATTCAAGTTTCAAGCATCAAGTAAGGAAAATGCACTTACTGGTTCAAATTTGGCCCCTTAATTATGAATACTATTGGGAGGGTTGAAAAGTAATATAAACGAAGTCCACATCGCAGGTGTCTGTGGTGGGGAATGAACGCGCTATTGTCTTTTCCGGGGAGCAACGCGTTCACCACCACACCATGCGGGTCCTTCGTTTCGCCTGTCTCTCAGCTATTTCTATCGATCTTTTGCCATCAGCAATCACCCGTCAATGGGATTGATCGCGTTACTCTCCGGAAAGGACAATATCGCGTTCGTTCCCCACCGCAGACACCTGCGGTCTGGAGTTTTGCAAATATCTCAGCATTATAGTAGTTATATTTTGCAAAATACCCTGCCGTTAAAAAGAATAGGCAGTAAATAAAAAGGTTAGGATTGTAAAGTCCACATCTTCTTTCTTTCGTTTCGTAAGCTCACGCATTGACATAACGCGTTGGGAGCCACTCCATATGTAACCATGGCGCGGGCTGGAGAAGAGTTACTGGGCGGGGAATGAACAGATAGACAGGTTTCTTACCGAGGATGTGAGTCTTCATTCGGTTGAAGAAGATTCGGGGCGCCTTCCACCACTTAAAACCAATCATACAAAAGCGATAGTCGAGACTGGCTTTTAGAAACATTTCCCATGTACCGTGCAAGAATTTGACCGCTTGATTTCGCCCAGATCGACGTGCAGGACATAGTCGATACGCTAGCACTTCCACCCTTGCTTGGATGAACATGGTAGCAGTTCAGAAATTGTTTAGCATTTCGAAGAGAATGGTGATATAACAAAATTTTTAAAACCTACTCTCTTCAAGTCTCTTCGTGACTAAAGAATATGTAATTTTTTCATAATAAGGTAGGGCGATGGTGTTCAAAAATTTTTTATTCCGCCAACGTTTCGAATCTTTCGACTTCTTCAAAGCTGGATTCAAATGTTTCGAGCCGAATGTCCACAGTTGTTCTCTCTAGTGATGTGGGCCGATTTGGGTTGAATGGCGCATGTGGTTGGAGGAGCCACTGTGAGACACACGTGGAATCGATTCCTGCGCCCATGATCCACCGAGCATTCTATCTTTCCGGGGTCGGCAAATTGGTACCAGACCTGCCTGGGAGGATAGGAGCACTGGCTCGATACATCGGTAAGCCACCGCGAGTCATTGTAAAGGCCAAATATGCATTCGATCATCTCAAAACGATGCTTAATGAAGTCGAATGCATGGCACATCCCTAAAGGGATTGATTAACGCCGAGAGCTTTTATCTTTTTACCGATGAGGGTTTTCGTGATTGCATTGAATCGAATCCAGTGAAGCACCCTTCCAGTGAACTGACCTCACTCAGCAAACAACGGACAATCAGTATTAACAGCTGTTCTCCATAAAGGAGCACTACCGACTGAGTTTACTTTATTGGGGCTGTGCTTCCACTGGATTCGACTAGATGCTATTGCGAAGAAGGAACAATTGCGGGTAGTCGATTCAGATCGATCTTGCTCTGAAGAAGATGAAGGCACCAAAACATTAAAAAACTAAAGCTTTTTCTTTATCAACCTTTATCAACTGTCCAGTAGTCCAATTCGGCTGCAATGAGTGCCTCGTTTAGCTTAGTTATCGGAGCTGGTCAACCGACCTATACTCCAATCACCTCTATAATCATTTCCCAGAAAGAGTCTTCGTAAAACTCCTTTACAGCCTCAGAATTATATGATACTGTAATAAATATATTGTTAAATCGCCTGGTTATTTCTATTATTCTTTATTTAATATCGTTATTGTAATCGCGAAACAATTGCTTAGAAGTCTATTCTTCAACACCAACTTTAAATTACTTCTTAGTCGGAAGAACCGCATGAAAAACGAATGCAATTATCACATAGTTTCTAAATGAGAACAATCTAGAAGATTCTTAAATGGACAAAGAATTCGATGTACGCCGTAATAGATTGAGGTCTACTGCCGACATGAAGACAGGAATGGAATCTCTCATGAGCATATAGTATTTGGATCTGGAGATTGTTGCGTACCAAGCGATGTTCATGAAGAAGAAGTACTGCTTGTTCTTGCTAAAGGTACTCATCAGCCATTGCTGTAACTTCTGTTGCTGCCGCTGACATTCTTTTCTGGGTGTATTGCTGAAATCATGGTTTAGAGGATGGTTCCGAGAACAGAGTTGTTGTATCTTGGAAAATGCTCACATGCGTCGTTTTTCGAACTAGTTGACTAGGTCTTCGCAATTTATGAATATCAATTAGTTGAACAGAAAATCGAGGACGCCATCCTGTACCGTCGGCTGGGGATGCTATGTACAGTACTTGACGTGAAAATAGTTGTCGAAACTGAAAAAGGATACAATGTATATTTTTACTTCCTGTCTATTTTTGCTCCTTGGCAGGGAATTATGTGGTATGTGAAGGCTTAAAAGTTCCACATTATGATTTCAAATGCAGACTTAATTGGGTCCAATGAAGGTTTTTTGCTGCCCAGATTATTCCCGTTGACTGGCTATTGCTAATGACACCTCTAGGGTAAAAAACTAGCTGAAAGGTGGCAAAGCAACGGCCTCGATTGTGCATTGGCCAACAGCTGAGCCTCCTGAAAGGGTAATCACTGGCTCGAATCTCGCTTAGGGTCCGAATTTTGCGGATATCTCAGCACCATCGTGGTTGCAAAAAAATTCAACTTGAAATCTAAGAGGCTGGAAGGACGATTGCTGTAACGTAAAAGAACATTGTGTTCACCAATTAGTATTATTATTTTGAACGGAGTTAGATCCCTTCGTAAAATCTTCCTGCACGTTCTCAAAAACTCCACTGAATGGGAAAATTATTAAGATGATCAAACCTGCAGCTTAAATGAGGAGCTCATGCCGAAATAAATAGCAAAATTCAGCGGATACGTCAATATTATAAGGAAATTTCTGAAACATATCCTTTAATCAATATCGATAAATTAGAGCTTTCTTAATATGGCCCGAAGGTTTCACAGAGAACACACGACTTTAATGTTTCTCCGCAATATCTTTATTGCCGCAGAAATAGTACTTGTTCTGCGCATCATTTGATCATTTTTTTAGGTTAGAACGAAAAAAGCTTCGTGATTTTAATTCTTAACGAAATAAGTAAGAGAAGTTTAAAATCAGCGATTGCCTGATCTTTTGTCAGCAACCGAAGATATTCAGTAGAGCAGAAAAGACCGAACCTTACTATCAGAAGGTTGTTGATTGTTTTGTAGTCGCTCAAATCAAGAAGCCGATAGAATACGACTAATAAGTGCATGATAAAAATAAGTGCAACTGGAATTTCAATTAGTAAAAAGATGGCTATCACGACAAGCAACATGCGTGTAGTAGCGTGCATGAGACGGTTCGATGTCAAGCATCCTGACATTTGCTGAAACACTTTTATTGAGCTCGATGTAAGGGCTCTTCATATATATAAGCTACTAGAGAATTGATTACACAAAAAAACTCATCAATTGGCCGTAGTGAAAAAAGAAACGTGCTAATATGATTCATGGATTCTGACGAAATATCGTTTAATGCTAAGTGCTGAAATCTCAGCCACGCTTTCTCGTTGTCATGTTAAGTAACAAAATTGTTATCTTCAATGCCACCCTTCTCAGGCTTCTTTCCACTGATTATTGAGTGCTTCTATTGGGTACCAGCAACGTTTTCATCTATCTCTCTCCGGTGTCCGAGGTAAACTGTGTGCCCTGCTCACTCAATAGACTCGAAGTTCACTTTTTTCGTCTAGAGTCATCGAAAAGCAAACGAATCATTGAGTTCGCTTGATAAACCGCTTCAGTTTCCAATGATCCCCCGTCTAACAGCTAACATTTAGAAGTAGCGCGCATACTCGTCATTTTTGCAATCTTGCTATGCAAAGCAGCCTCAGATGTTCGATTCAAATTTTACAAGCAGATAACAGGGCCATCAGTTCAACAATCATACTCCACCCGTCGTACAATAAGAGCATAACGCCTTCAAACAGAATATCATATCATCCGTTCCCTGCAGCCTCACTTGCATGACAAGAATTTCGTTGTCAATGACAATTTCGAAGAGCCCTCCACAACTTCGATGAGCGTTTTTCCTTTTTTTGCGGATCCGAAGCGAGATTTTGCAGACTGTTCGTGGTTATAAAGGATACCACTCACCAGTTTTCGTTTCGGCATTTGGCGCACAGAGCGCTTTCGATCAGCTTCGTTGACAGTCTTGAACAGGCAAGTGGTGAAGATTATCAGAAGTACACATGGCACGATATGCACGAAAACCGCACGAAGACATAGATGGATGGCTTTCCATGAATCGACTCCTATTAGCTGAAAGTAAGCAATAATGCAGTTATAGAAACAGTTTTGTTAGGAAAAGGACGTTCAAACATGAAAAGGTGGCCAAAAGAGTCATTAGCTACTTTCAGTGTTCACGAACACTGGAAACAACGCGGTAAACATCGATGTGGAGTCCGGTATTCCACCTCATTTTTTAAGACGTGTCATAGATTCTATGTGATTGACCTAACGCGAGGTTTCTACAGACTTGAAGCATTGATAAGTCACAGCCGTTTTTCACATCATTAATATTTCATTAATTCCAAACCCTATAATGGAAAAGGAAACACTCCACTACACTGTGTACTGCACAAAATTACAATAAGGCATTATCAATGGGCGGCTTTTCTTGACTGTTAAGATTTTTCTACCCACTCAGGTGCTTAGATGACCCGTCATAAAATGTCGTGTGAATCGCAGCACTTCCTCCCTCTTCGTTTCGTCCTTTTCCAACCGTCATTCATATTTCGTCGGTTTCGAGTATATATTCGGCTGGAGATTGAGAACTTGTGGACTTTTCTACACCGTCACATGCTTTACGCTGGTCGAGCTTATGCTTCCTTGAAAACCTAAGGTAGCCATTCTAGGGCATTCTCACGTCTTCACTGCAATAACGCACTACTTTTTACGAATAACAAGGCCAATTCTCTGAATAATCCTGTGGCGCCAAGGAGTCTTACGATTATTCGACTGAGTCTTCATTGCTGTTTGTGTTTGTAATGCATGACACCTTCCTTAAACGTCTTCTGATAGAAATTCCACAGAGCTTTAAAATGTTGACTTTCTCCAAAATTTTACGAGATTCATGTTAAGTGTCTCAAAGACTGGCAGTAATTACGACGACTTTTCTCCGGTGGAGTTAGGTTGAAAAGTAGAAGCGAATAAAGCGACTGATTTTGACACTCGTCTTTCTTAATATCTTTGCAGTTGACTGATCAGGAAGTTTCAGTATTACTATGCAAAAAGATCTAACGATGGTTATGAATCAATGATATTCACGTAGAAGAGACGGTCGTTGAGCAAGAATCAAATTTGCACTGAAAATCCAGTCTTTCGTAGATAATAGACGCAAAGTAATGAATGGAATGGAATAAGTGGAGAGATCAGCCCAATATGTGACAATGGGTTATACAAACAAATAATTTCAACGATTTTTACATTATGAGGGCTGTGTGGAATTCTAGACATGCTTTGGTTACTCAATAATACGAGTTCTTAACGTGTTGATTGCAATCAAAGATGTAGACTGAAAGAGAACTTCCAGATTGCTCAACGACCATTCCCTAGTTGTTATTTGGTAATCTTGGCTTTACAGATCTCATCTTTTTTCAGATCCTTGTTTTCCAATGGTCGTGTTATGTTCGAAAAACAAGAACTGGAAAAGTTTCACGTTTCAGGTTGGATCACGAGAATTTCTAGAGCTGCACTGATTTCCTTTTTCATCGTCAAAGCTGCATGAGTGAAAGCTGCAAAATTAACGGCTACTCAAGTACTTCCACATCGAATAAAAAAGTACCAACCGTATCAACGATGTCAACATATTTATGGAAGCAACTTCTTGTAGAGTTTGACGTTTGTAAACTAACACTATACTCAGTAAGCATAACTGGCAACTCACTGAAAGCGATATTTAAGCTTGGAACTATTTTATGTGGTTTTTTGGCTGTATTTTCTCACCTTAGAAAAGCGCAAATACATATGCAAATAATAATATGTCTTGTCTTCCTTGGAGTGCAAAACCTGGAACGAAAAATTAAAAGCTTCAAAACGAAGTAATTTCTACATAAACTTCAAACACTTGCACCCAAACTCAGAACTTCATGATTTGAAATAAAAACCGTTAAAGTCTATATGTTCGTGTTGACTAGATGTGTTGAAAAATTGCTTTCATTTCTAGACAAATCTTTAGGTTCTTAAAATCCGCGAATCCATTTTTCCACGGGTGCTTTTTCTCACTGAGACTTACATTTCAAGTATCAAAGTGACTGGAAAGGGACGAATTTCGTTCATAAGGACGCTATCGTGTCCTTGACTGAGTCACTTGCATTGGATAGTGGTAGCTGCATTAGTGTGAACAATTTCAAAAATTATTAAAAAGATCTTATTAAACATTCATTAACGCATAACACCTCTCTACCATACTTCGTGGTGGGCCCAATCGAGTACGAGCAATGTTTCGCCAGTTGCGAATTTTCTGGTTTTTTGACAATAAAAATAATTTTTCAATAACCAGAGTGCATTACAGTTTCAAACATGATACAATTGACTTTGCTCTTCTATGGATACGAATAATATGCGAGCTACTGTTTACTGAGTTTTACTATACGTGCCCTGTGCAATTGTGGTCAGTACCTGGAAGCACTTTGACACTATTTTCAGTTTATTTCGGTGTTTTCTATACAAGCATATTTAACAAAATTATTGTGATTAAAAAAAATAGTGGTTAACTATTATATTACATTTATGTAACTGTTCTTCCCAACGGTTTACCTTATCATCGTAGCTAGGAAGTATGCCTGGGTGTCGGGATGCGAAGTACAGCGGGAAGACTCCTTAACCCATCAAGGTCTCTCGTGATGAGAAGGAGTCCGACGTTTCCATGCAGAAACCTAACTAAGAGCAAAGCATTACCAGGATCCACCACCATCCTGGTGTGAAACTAGTCGCGTGGTGGCAGATCTCTCTCTGATCCACAAAGGCGTCGACTGCGTGTGGTGGTGACAACTGAGGCGGACTTTGGCCAGGCTGATCTCAGCAATCCAGGAAACAACAATGGCTAAACCAGCTAATCTCCGAAAAAATGGGAACTGTGCTGGGGTCCTGCACAACCAGTGAGGATAGGCTATCTAAGTATTCAAGTAAATAGTACTAAACTATTAAAAAATTTAATAGTTTACTGCTGCAATTACAGGCCAGTGAACTTCCAATATGAAAGTTTTTTGCAAATTATTCAGTGCAGAGAACGGCTTTCTGATCTCACCCCTAACATTTTAATCCGCTTCCGATTAGCTATTGAATAAGTATGCGTATTGTGCTAAAAAAAAAACACCGATCCACTAGACTGAGTAATGACATTATAGTGCCCACGTGATCTTTGGCCCAGTTCGCGGTGAAATAACGCTTAGGAAAAGCACAGGCATTCTTAAAGTGATAGGGCATAATCTCCTTTATAAGCTCGTTGCTTTCATAGGTACTTAATTCTTGCTGTAATTATTTTATACTGTGGTGGTCGAAAAACGGTGGCTGTTTTTTGAAGAAAACCGAGAGAATGCCAAAATGCCAAAATCGAACAAATGTCGTGTAGTGGTTAAAGGTGCATTGCAATACACCCATGGTCCTCAGTTCGATCACAAGGTCTTCAATCCATCCCGATGCCAGACTTGCCTGGGAAGATAGCAGCACTGACTTGATGTATCGGTAGGCCACCGCAAGTCGTTGTATTGGATAGATATAGATTCAATCATCTTTAACGATGATTGAAGAAACAGAATCTATGGCCTATCTCTCAGGCTCGTACAACTTTGGGTGTTTTATTCTTTATCCTTTGACATAATACTTCCGACACCTCTAAGCATAATTTTCTAGTCTACAAAGGCACTCACTTTACAACTAACGTCGGTAAACAAACATATATATATCGTTGAATCGCTAGATAGACCGTTAGCCAAATAGCTGTCGTATGGAATCTGAATGAGAGTCTAAAGTAAATTTAATCTGTTCAATGATTCACTATTACATAATAATAACCTTGTTTACAATAGCAACGAACAAAATCAGCAAACTGATTGCCTTCACGTTTTGTGATAACAAGTGTGTTTTGCCCAACACAAACATCTCATGTGTTCTTATGATTTTGAACCTACATTGTTGGAAGGTAAACAGCGAAGTACGGATGTGTTTTACACCAGAAATCTGACAGACCATATTGTTGGTCTTCATATAGGCCACCAAAGGTATAGTAATACAAAAACCATGGACAGGAGGACAAACCTGCAATGTAACGCCTAAGCAATTTATTTCTGGGGAAAGTTCTTATCTGATTCAAGTAACACGTTACCGGTCATCAGTTCAGTGATCGCCATCGAAAGCAGAATATGATTCGTGGGCGTACGGAGATTCCTGTTTGAAAGCACTACAATCACCAACGAATTTGTGACCAGTGTGACAAGAATAATAGCTGGAGCTGCCAAGCCATAAAGCGGTCGAGCTAGCCATGGGGGTTGACTCTGAAGCAAGCTTATTCTGCCACATAGAAATTAGTGGTGAAGGGCAAGTAATTTAAAGAATCGTTTCTACTTTGATGGTGAGATACTTGCAAAACAACGGATCGCAGGTCTCTGCAGTGGAAATCGAACACGCTATTATTCTTTCCGGTGATGCGTAATAGCGTGTTCGATCTCCACCGCAGACATTTGCGGTCCGGGATTTCGCAAATATCTCAGCAACATTGTGGGTGTATCTCATATAACACCCCGCTGTAAAAAAATGCAGTAGGCAGTAAATAAAAACGTTAACATATCTACTATATTTTTTTCTGAGACCAAGCGTTAGACTCCTGTAACCTTCTTGCTAGGGAAACGCTCTTGCCAAGCTATCTCAGCATTCAAAGAGAAATCGACTTTATCAGCAATCAACGACGTCCCTAACGAAGGTAAAATTCTTCAAGCAGCAAGTAAAACCATGCGCAAAAAGTTCAACATCTCAAACAGCAACGGAAGAACCTATGCGCGAAAAGTGAGAAGTCCCTCATGCGTGACGGATGCAACAAAACCATTCGCATGCAAGTGGTGCCGGTATCAGCGCACTAGATGTGAAAAGAGGTTGTATAAAAAATTACCTTCTTCTGGATGGTACTTAATAATTTAAGAACGTGGATAAGTATAACACTCCACCCTGTCACATAAAAGGTCAATATAAATTTTCAAAAACATCCTCTCACAATTTTCAAAGTGAAACCTTTGAAAAAATTTTGGTATAGCAACGAAAATTTAGGGAGCTTGACGTTGGCACCTCGTATATTGACTTTGATAGACCCCATGGCATTCTCCTTCAGATTTAAAATAGTTATAGAATAAGCCAACATGTACCTTCTTGCCAGTAAACTTGAATAAGTATCAACAGATGTCGCTCAATTTGACAGTGTTGACTATGAGCACTCTCACCACTATGCTCAGAGTGGCTTTGTAATTCGACTTCGGTCGCTGGTATAACCTTCTTTTGTAGGGAAACTAAACCCCCTTATCTCAAAGGCTCACAAATAGCTACCAGACATATCAGAGTGAATAAAGTGAATGGAACACACCACCTCTAAACATAGGCAGGTCCATACACGTCAGTTTATTAGCCAAATATGTATTCAATCAATGCAGACTGTGCTATGAAAGGGGTTGAATTCATCGCACAACCCTCATTGATTAGCCAACACTAAACCCTATTCTACACTTTCTTGTCTTTATAAGCTTAGATAGGGTTGCTTAAATTTGAAATGTTGGATAATCTTTAGCACGCATACATTGAAATAAGCACATGCGGTCACATATGTGTTTAATGAAAACTGATGTAATTTTAGATGTTAAGCCTGTTTCAGTCATGATAACTCCCAATAACGTCTTCATATGTGACAAATAAACATCGGGTGGTTGTCTTTAAGTGGGAACCTGCTGTCTAACTACATGCACTACATTACTTTGTCACACGATTGCTGAACATCGCCTAACGAAACTGACACACGCTGTTATTCTTATGTTGATGTATAGCTCGTTGACAACTATCAATGGTCAAAAAAGTAGGTAAAAGCGTAAAGTTACAGTGAACACTGTACAACTCACCTGAGAGATGTTAACTACATGTACTAATCGTGATGAAGTTGTCAGCGCTATATCTTCTCCTTGCCAAAATTCTCCCCATCCGAGAAGATTGAACAAGTCAAGCATACACCTGAAACCACATTGTTTTAAAAATATTCGTTACTGATGAAAGATCGTTATTTTGGAATTTATTTTTAGGATTTATTAGTGTGATTTAATTATTCGCGTCGGCTACGTATACAGTAATTCATACAGATTAAAGGGAAAAAAACGTAAAACTTCTGAAGAAATGAATGAAAACTAACAGAATGAAGGTGCAGGAACGGAACGATAAAACGAATGACCATAAAAACTCTAAGGACTTGCTCGAAAAACTACGACTGAAAAACGGTGAGATTCATTGCCGCTCCAATGACAATGGGATGCACAAATTTGTTGAACAAATAACACTTGAATGCAAATGCGCTTTCTTTACAGTGAATATCCGATTGCAGAAGAAATAAAGTAATGAGCTGTAGTTTATTTTCCGAGAACCTCTTTAACACCTTATCAATTGTTAACACAGTGCAAACGTGTAATTGAATGCGGTAACATTAGTCACATTTAAAGTACAAACTGCGGATACAAAGAAATCTCTTAATCTAGATGTTAAGCCTGAAAGTCTCTTAAGAATATTGTGCTGACTAGTCGTTAGTATACGTAAAGCATCCGGTGGTTTAGGATTTGGGCATAAACAGTGATCAAAAGCTAGTATGGGCCAGTCCTGAGAGGCAGATGGATTCATTAAATGGGTTCTGTTTGGCGTGACGAAATACCCACACCTATCGCATAATTACTTTCATAACGCTTCCATGTGAATTCTGTGCGGTCGGTCTTCACGCGACATACTCAGTGGAAGACTCATAGAAAGCGGTGAGTGTGCACAGCTATGCTAAATGTGAATGAAATCTTGGTTTAGCGTTTTCCCTGTTTGGTTATGGAGGTGTTTGGCCGAATGGATTGCTGTCAACTTGACCTTTCCAGGCTCTGAGGAAGGCGAAATCCGCCGAAACGTCAGCTTGTGCGTAAATAAAGAAATAAAATAGCACCTCGTGTTTGCTAAACAGAAGTAGAAAGATATTACTTTCATAGTTTTGTTGATGTGGTTTGCGTACATGTAGTGTGTTCAGGGTATTGCTTGGGCACGTGGGTGGCCTATCTTCACTGGCTGTGCGGACCTCAGCACAATTTCCACTTTTTGGACTTTTGCTGGCCTAGACATTCTTGTTCCTTCGAGTCCCGAAGCCTAACTAAAGTCTGTCCCAGGTCAACACCACCACATGCAGTCGCCGCCCTTGTGGACCAGTGGGATATTTGCCTCCATGTGACTATTTTGACACCAGGACAGTGGTAGAACCTGGTATTAGTTTAATCTTAGTTAAACTTCCTGATGGAAACGCTGAACTCCTTCTCAGCTTGGAAGACCCTGCTGTGGGGGATGAATGCCCCAGCTGTACAATGCAGCTTTACACCCAACTACAACTGTTAGCCACGATAAGGCGATAGACAGTTGGGAGGCTTTGGGTATTGATATAGCCAAAAGCCTTAAATTATCAGAAAGCATATGGGAGGTGCTTCGGTTTCATTACCAGCAAACAACCCTAATATACTCTCCAAGAAAGCCGAGAACATACTACTTGTTGATATGCTCCCGTTGAAAAGAATTAAAATAAACGGCTTCATATGCATAGTTAAATTATCAACGAGAGCACAGGTACAGATGATATTAGTGCTTATTTCTCTCCTTCAGTAACAATGACCTATCATTGTTTTTTTTTCATTTTTTTCCCTACTGCTTAATATATATTTTGGGACTATCAACTTAGAGACGAGTATTTTCGAACTGCAGCGAAACCACATCAACTAAGAACTAATGCCATTTCAGTTGTTTCCATATGTTGAGCGGGGTTTTTATTTCTGATGTAAATACATATTGAAACAGGGATGATAATGTTGCTCCTTTCATAGTTACGGCAGCCAGGTAAGACAATAGAAAACCGGAATTATTTAAGAAAGGGTGTCCGTTTCATAAAAGTCACTTTCAGAACAATTTCCAATCACTAACTTCGTCTGCATTTATAGTTTTCTTATAAATGCTAGAATGATGCCTGTTATAGGCTTGACTCATTAGTTCATTTCTGAAGCAGTTTAGTATCTATGACATGAAATATAGTGAGTATCTAAGTAGTGAATTAAACGACTATAATCACAGTCTTTTATATTAGCTAGCACGAACTTCGATAGTTTTTAAGTCCGAAGTATTTGACGGCAATCTATTTCCAGAACATCGTAGCTATGCAATTTCGCGTTCTCAAGTACAAGTGTACTTTCCCGATGACTAAGCTGGATGTAGAAGTTCTATGGCATTTTTGCTTCTTGAGCAGTATCTGCTTAGAATATGAAGGCATTTATAAATTCGTCTTCAGAAATAACAATCATTTAAGCCCAACACATTTCTTCATCCTCAATTCTGTCACGTCCAATTTCGGATGAGTATCTAAGTCTACATGAAAAAGATTAATTTGACATTTAACTTGGTTCGAAACCATCGTGTCGCCTTCAGTATGTCTCCTACATTAATCGAGTACCTCGTAAAGCCTATTCTCAATAAAGCGGTTGCCGGACATTTTCCTGACATCTATTTCCTAGATGCCCAACTCTCATGAAATGAGTGATTTCCTCGTTTTTCAATTAGGCGTGATTATTACTGTACTGAAACAGTGTTTTCCACCTTACATGAGTAGGAATAATAACCAGTAGTGATTATTGTTGTAGCATAAATGCATAAGAGAGAATTAGTCTGAAATTATTATTCAAGAATTAAAATCCCTCACAAGGCTATAGATATACAAATTGAGAACTCGGCTGAAATATCTCAACAAAGAGCTGTGAACCATCTAAAAAGATTCTACCGAATCTTATGTCCTATCAATTGCCCCTGAGCATAGAGAAAAAATGTAGAAGACATTTTTGTCAGTGAATTGGTTGATTAAAAAGTGTGAGCTGATATGATGCATCTTAAAGGCTCTATCATGCTCACTTTTTCAAACATATGCATAGTAGAACTGCTCAGGAAACAATTACTAAGAGTGCTAGTGTTAAATGACGCTTAATTTACATAGCTACGCGAATAATCCTTCAGGCTGCACCACAATTTCCGCTTTACTTATGTTGGCTGATTTGGCAACTTTTCATCTTGGAGTTTCAAAGAATGCCAAGGGGTTCTGACGTCCAAGCAGTAGCAGACCTGTGATAAAGGTAGACAAAAACGCAACATGACATTCTAACTAGAATTCGTCTAACACAACGGCGACATCCGTTTGCTTCAAGCTTGGCTGCCGAATGAAATCTTGAACTCCTTCTCAACTCGAGTGACGGTACAAGGGGAATTAATCTCATGTCGTACTTTATAGTTCTACATCAATTAACACGCCTTATGAAAATAATGCAATAAATCATCAGAAAACACTAGCGTTCCGGAAGAGAATGTGAAGCTGTTTTAATACGAAGCCATTAAATTGTACGTCATTTAACATTCGGATGCAAAATATTGTTTGTGTTAAATAACAAGGAGGCTACGTGAATACATCGTGCGGTCCGACCCTTGTGCTTTAATATCGCCACTTTTTAAATTGCCATTTTAGAGGGTGAAAAGAATTTTACGAGAAGTTTATATACAGGGAAAATAGCCTAAATGATGTCATCGCTGTCACTAATACGAATGCCAATTGCCACTGACCATATGCTTCGTAGTTTTTCTACTAAAAAGACTTGTAAGAAATGGCGACTAGAATTTTGACAATAACAAATTATAACTTAATCTATTTGTTGATAGGGAAAATAATAGAAGCAATCTATGTTAATCCATCCAATAGACTTATAAGACTACCGTCACAGACATTATTAGTCTTGTCGATGGATAATTTTCAAACGCAAATCTTCTTTCTGTGAATCGAAATGAATAATGTTCTTAAAGGCAGGAAAAGTGGAAGGCATTTTGTACAATCAACGTGTAGAGTAGTAGAGAAAAATCTTATACATATAGCTGCAAAATCGTTTCTATTTAGTCACTTAAGCGAGAAAACAAAACAGCATCTGAACATGACGTTGGAACATGAAGATGTCCCCCAAATCCCTGGAAGATGAAGAACCTCTCATGTTAAAGTAGCACAGGTTACAGCCGAAATAGAACAGTTAAAGTGGGTCCATTACAAATCTCTGCATTAAAAACTTATTTTCTCGATGAGCCAGAAAGCCGGGAGCATGCTTTTGGCAACGAATATCAATAGATAGTTTCGTTCCGATTTTAGAACCGGCAACTAGTTACCCATGTGTGATGAGACAAAAAGATGTAGCCTGCTCAATAGGCATGGGAAGACATCCCGAACGAGCAAACAGTGAACTAATGCAAAACGAAGGTTAGGTAGGTGCCGAACAGGGGTGGTAAGAGAATTTGTAACGAGAACCCCAATGGTGAAGTAAGGTTGTACATTCGCTGTAAACTTGATTAAGGCTGGGATACTTCAATAAAACAACGGTGATAAATTCAATGGTGGTCCTTTTTTAATTTTACAACACGGAAATAGCCTGGTTTGCAGCAAAAATATTAACTGAAAAAGTTCAAAAATCTTGCTAATGCAGTTCCCGTGCTACACTGCTCTATGTTGTAAGCTGCTGTACGTGCACAGCAAGTCACCCGAAGTAATCTAATGACCATCCAATATTTTCTAGACAATGACTACCAGTTAATCAAATTATTCTCTTTCTTCTTTGCTCATCGGTAGACGCAAATGAGTTCCAGATCGACGAAAATGTGAAACGAGAGAATCAGGGAGACTGGTCACATCAGGCAGCTTTGAACGCGTCGTATTGCTCTTTGAGCTGGAACGGTATTGCTGGCTCTTGCAGTGACAACCTCTTAAAGGACCCCCGGTTTCTTCAAAGTTCTCTCAGTTGTCCACCTTGCAGAAAGCGTAGAATATCGGTCGTAGTAATCGCTATAGCAGTAATTCTCTGTCGTTTAACTAATTTCGTATTAACACATAACGATCTGTTTGCAATACGAGTTGAACATAGTGACGGCTTCC